CTTGTCCCATACGGCGTCACTAGTTCCATACGGACACACAGCAGGAGGACCGTCAGGACGGAGAAGTGCCTCGATTCCCCAGCATCGCACTGGCGACGAGGCCACCTCTCAAAAGTCCCATGGCTAGGAGCCTTTCAACCAGGCTCCGGGGGGGTAGCGAGACGTCGCCTTCCCTCCTTTCTGCTGGTGCGTAGATTTCATCCCCGGGAGGTCCGGGAGATGAGTCTGCTCAGCGTATCACCATAAACCGGAAGTCAACCCAAGAGAATTGTTGAAAACGTCTCATTCCTATAATCCCGTAAGGTCACGCGTTTCTGTGCCAATGCCATTTACTCCTGATGTATACAGTTGAAGCTACCTTCTACTGAATCAGACCCTTGGTCCATCAAGGTCAGTATTGTCCACTCAGACTGGCAGCTGCTCTCCAAGGTCTCAGGCAGAGATCTTTCTCATCACCTACTGCCTGGTCCTCTTATGTAGTTATTCTAATGGCCAATAAGAAATGTCCTCTGTGTGTTTCTGTTCATATTTGACTTGGTCCATCAAGGTCAGTATTGTCCACTCAGACTGGCAGCTGCTCTCCAAGGTCTCAGGCAGAGATCTTTCTCATCACCTACTGCCTGGTCCTCTTATGTAGTTATTCTAATGGCCAATAAGAAATGTCCTCTGTGTGTTTCTGTTCATATTTGCATAAAAGTGTGTAACTGGATTGGCTTGTCCACAAAGAATATTCCAACTATGAATGGTCACTCTTGCACAAAGAGAGAATAAAACCCAATGATGCACTGATGCCGCTAAGTCATGAAAGCCCTAAGGTGGAATGCATGGTTCCACTCATTTGTATGATCAGAATGAAACTGGCCACAGTGCCTTTGACACGTCAATGGTTTCATCGTTGGCTTAGTAAGGTTTTCTTACAGGTCAGCAGTGGTTACTGGTGCTGCCACCATCTTTAGTAGGGTTGCCAGGTGCTTACCTTCTTCCGGTGGGGGCTCCATATTGCTTCCCGAGAGTCATAGAGTTTTTAGCCAAATGCTAGAGCGTCCCCATGCAACATGTGTGGCACGATGACGTCACCGCTGGGTGACATCATTGTGCCAGGCATGTCGGGTGCGGCAGGGCTCTTCGAGGCGGGGATCCCTCTGTCGGCCAGCTGAACCCTAACCTTCAGTGACTTCAGCGTAATAAGAAGATAGTGGGTGAAAGTGAATTAGAACCCACCCCACCAAAAGCAGGCTTGTTGAGAGGGGGGCAACAAAATTCTGGAGGGGGGGCTGGGTACTCCACGAAGCCAGGCAAGTCCTGCAGTTTGTTTTCATATGATGTTTAGGTGGAGTATGGGTGGTGGAAAGTTCACACATGTACACATGAAGCTGCATTCTACTGAAACAGACCCTTGGTCTTCTACTTTTGGGATGATTTAAATATCCCTCCTATATTTTTTTTTTACAGTTTTTAGATTTTTCTGCACATCTGGGGATTGCCCCAAATGTGCAGGAAAATCTCCCTGCCCCCCAAGTGCCCCCGATGTGCGAATTTAGATATCCACACGGAGGAGGCATGTTGGGAATTAGATATATAGATGCTGCCCATAGGAAGTGCTCCCCAAGAGAGAAGAATGTCCTTGCTGGATTGACCAAGGTCTGGACATAGTCCAGAGTAGGGTAACAAAGGATGCCATCTGAGACAACGTAGCCAATTTTTGGTTTTTGTTTTTTATTTTGTTTTTAATGGTTGTACATTGCCTAGAGGCTCACATTGTGGGGAATAGGCGATTGTTCATAAATTGAATGAATGAATGAATGGAATGTTAACATCAACTAGCCGTATGCCCCAAGAAGCTGACATCATAGCATGATGCTTCCCCTGGTCTTGTCCCCAGTAACTGGCATGTGTTGTAGTGGTTAGACTGGGACTCTTGGCTTGAAATCCAAACTTAGAGTTGCCAGGTCCCCCCCCGGCCACTGGCAGGGATTGGGGGATAGGATTGTCAGATCCGGGTTGGGAAACTCCTGGAGTTTTGTGGACAGAGCCTGGGAGGACAGGGACCTCACTGGGGTACAACGGTGTTGAATCCACCCTCCAAAGCATCCATTCTCTCCAGGGGGACTGATCTCTGTAGTCTGGAGATGAGCTGTAATTTCAGGGGATCCCCAGCAATGCTCCCTCTAAGCTGTGGAGTCCTGTGAGCAAACATTTTACTTTGTGAGCTTCCTGGCATTAAAGTTGTGAGCGTGCGATTTGGCTGCTGCATAAATTAGTTTGCTCTGGAGCCATCCTTCCTGAGCCAGGACAAAAATCTGTGAGCCGGAGGCTAGAAAACTGTGAGCTGGCTCACACTGACTCAGCTTAGGGGGAACACTGAACCCCAGGTCCCACCTGGAGGCGGGCATCCCTAACCCTGCTAGATGGGTTGTTGGGTGGCGCTGGGCCGGCCACTCTCTCTCAGTCACTCCAATCTATCACAAAGGGTTGCTGTGAGAATAAAAGGGGGAAACGAGACGCGTGACTCCTGCCTTGAGCTCCTCGGAGAAAGGGAGGGATTAAAATATGACGGATAATGTTCTGAAGCCCAGCAAGATTAGATCTCAGCAGCCACGGGGAAGACCCATATGCTTGGCCTGCTCGTATAGATCTAGGCAGGGCTTTTTTTGTACAAAAAACCCAGCAGGAACTCATTAGCATAATAGGCCACACCCAACAGCAGAAACTCATTAGCATATTAGGCCACACCCCTGACAGCACAGCTCATTTGCCCATTAGGCCGCACCCCCATGTTGCCAGAAGTGTGCTCATCCATCCACAACCACCTTTTGCTTCTTATTCTGTTTACCTTGTTTGTTGTCAAAACCCAAGGCTTTTTTTTTTGTAGCAGGAACTCCTTTGCATGTTAGGCCACACACCCATAATGTAGCCAATCCTAATGAGTTTCGGCTGTTGGGTGTGGCCTGTTATGCTAATGAGTTCCTGCTGGGCGTGGCCAACTCAGGAGCCAGCCGAAATTCCATTCCTGTGCGTTCCTGCCCAAAAATAGCCCTGGATATAGGCCTTGAAATGTCATGGCAGCGGCGTGGGATAACACATGGGAATAAGCACTTCCCATTACACATGAAAGGTACTAGAGCTACAACTTAATGCAGCCCAACCCATTCATGGAACTTGTTTAGTTCACTGTATAGAAGAGGGTTGCCATCCTCCAGGTGGGGCCTGAAGATCTCCCGGATTTACAACTGATCTCCAGGCTACAGGGATCAGTTAATGGAATCACAGAATCATAGAGTTGGAAGGGATCTCCCGCATCATCTTGTCCAACCCACGTGCCCCACTGGTGGACCTCCTGACGGCACCTCGTATGTTTGGCCACTGTGTGAGAGAGTGTTGGACTGGATGGGCCATTGGCTTGATCCAACATTGGCTTCTCTTATGTTCTTCTGTTGTTAACTCCCTGCACAATGCCCCGACACACACCCAGTGGCCCCTGCTCCACGGCCAGAAGATGACAAAAAAAACCTCCCTAGAGACTACGGCAGCTTCAGAGGTAGATCAAGACGGCTAGCCCTGTTAGTCTGCCTGTAGCAGCAGAAAAGAGCAAGAGTCCGGTAGCACCTGAAAGACTAACAAAATTGGTGGCAGGGTGGGAGCTTTCGTGAGTCACTGCTCACTTCTTCAGAGCAGTGGCTCATGAAAGCTCATGCCCTACCACAAATTTGGTAGTCTTTAAGGTGTTACTGGATTCTTACTCTTTTCCAAAATTTGTGGCAGGATATGAGCTTTCGTGAGTCATAAGAACATAAGAGAAGCCAATGTTGGATCAGGCCAGTGGCCCATCCAGTCCAACACTCTGTGTCACACAGTGGCCAAAAATACCAGGTGCCAGTAGGAGGTCCACCAGTGGGGCCAGGACACTAGAAGCCCTCCCACTGTTGCCCCCCCCCAGCACCAAGCATACAGAGCATCTCTTGCCCCAGACCAAGAGTTCCTATCTATACCTTGTGGCTAATAACCACTGATGGACCTCTGCTCCATATGCTTATCTAATTCCCTCTTGAAGCCGTCCATGCTCACTGCTTCGGATACTGATCAGTGACTCACGAAAGCTCCAGAGGGTGAACTCCATAGCATCCCATCCCTGCCGAGTTCCTCCCCATCCCTCCCAAATTCCACCCTCCCCAGGCTCCGCCCCCAAATCTCTAAGAATTTCCCAACTTGGAGTTGACAACCTTGGCAAAGAAGGCTTTAAGCTATTGGTCTGTCTTTTATCCTTGTCCAGCTCTCCCCGCTGTTGTACTGGAAAAGACAAATTAAGACAACTTATCTTAAGACCCTTATCAAGACATTTCGCAGCAGGCGAGCCAACGAAGTAACAGCTTTATTCACCAGTAAAGCACCGCGTAGGTTAATGCCTGTTTCTATGGCAACGTAGTAGGAGGCCTGGAGAAAGGTCCTTTGCAGGATGAGGGCCAGGAAGAGGAGAATCGCCAGGACGTAAGCGGTTTTAAGGAAATCGTGCGAGGTCAGATACGGCTGCGTCGAGTCCTTTGGAACAGAAAGAAAGGGAGGATCTCAGAGGGATTTCAGAGCACTCACCCAGATGTAAGGGACAGAAAAAGTTATTGCAGCAAATTAAAGACAACACAGATGACTTAACTTGCATAAGGGTAAACAATAGTTAAGAAGAAAGAAAGCCTGGGCTCAGACATCATACCAAACTGTGATCTTTTATGTGTTTTTATAGTGGTTGTTTTAGTTAGAAGAAGAAGAAGAAGAGATTGGGTTTATACCCCGCCCTCCACTCGGAGTCTGAGAGCGGCTTACAAACTCCTTTCCCTTCACCTCCCCACAACAGGCACCCTGTGAGGTAGGTGGGGCTGAGAGAGCTCTGACAGAAACTGCTCTTTTTCAAGAACAGCTGTGCCAGAAGAACTATAGCTTGCCCAAGGTCACCTAGCAGGTGCAAGTGGAGGAGTGGGGAATCAAACCCGGTTCTCCCAGATCAGAGTCCACACACTTAACCACTGCACCAAACTGGCTCTCTAAAGTGCACAATCAATTTATATTGTTTTATTGTGTGGGGGGGTTGTCATTGGCTTTATATTGTAAGCCGTCTTGAGGTCCCCGAGGGAGAAAGGCAGCTAATGAACATTTTAAATAATAATAACCAATAATAAAAGCCATGCTTCATTTCAACTAAGACTGCGGTCCGATGTGCCATTTGGCGAGGTCGGGAAACGCCCCTATTTCATCCATTGGTATCTGACACAGAGTTCTTAGATCACACATCCCATTTTGCTGTGGGCTCAGCCTGTCCCTGTGCAGACAGCGCGGACGGGCAGGTTTGTTTGGGTTTTGCCTGATTTTGCACATGCGCATAAACGGCGGTGCAGCTTTTTGCACATGTGCTTTTCAACGTCTGGGAAGTGAGTCACCGCTGCCACAGCTTGCCGATCCTTCCATGGAGCACCGTGATCCCTAACACAGATCACTCCCTTTCCCACGCACTGTCACCACTGGCCCAGCGATGGGGACGATTATGCGGTTATGCACCTATTGCTAAGTGTGTGGGAAATGGTGCAGTCAGGATGGACTGAGTAGTCTATCCTGACAACCTCAGAGCCCGCTTGAGAGATCAGACTAGGGAAAATCCATCCATGGCCCATCGGCAAGTGTTAGGACCGGTCTTCCCCAGTGTCTTTTTACTCTGTTTCTGTGGCGGGGCAGCACGGGGTGCCGACAACTGTGGGTCCTTTCCCAGATGTTGCTGCCCGATCGTGCACTTTAGATCCATCAGGCATTCACAGTTTAGTCAGATCTAAAGGCACATCTGACCACAGACCAACTATAGTTCGTGTGATCATCAGACATGGGCCACTCAACTAACCATGGTTAGTTAGGGTACATCAGACCAGGATCTGAAACCATAGTTTAAATCTGGTTTATTAACTATGTTTTCTGGTGGTGAATGGATGCTTAATCCTTGCTTGTACCCTGGTGTCACTCTTGCTGCAATGCAGGCTGGGATGTCAGACAGGTCTCTAGAAGTTTTGCCAGGCAGCCAGCCGGAGGGCTGTGGGTGAGGATATGGTGGGGCTACAACTCTAGGAATCATTGGAAACTCTATGGTTTTACCATATGGTTTTACCATAGAGTTCCCAGAGATTCCTAGAAATGTCACTAGAGTTGCCAGACTCCAGGTGGGACTTGGAGATCTCCTGGAACTAATGCTCATCTCCAGATGACAGGCATCAGTTCTCCTGGAGACAAAGGCTGCTTTGGAGGGGGGATTCTATGGTGTTATACCCTGCTGAGGTCCCTCCCTCCCTCAAACGCTGACCTCCCTAGGATCTACTGGCAGTTCTCCAGGAATTTCCCAACCTGGAGCTGGCAACCTTAGATCCACCGACTGGCTCCATCAGCAGGTGGAGGGCATCGGGTTGGATCCAGACGCAGTTTTCCATCAACGAAATGGAACACCTAGAGAGAAAAAATGAAATACAAATACATTGTTCACTGACACCAAGCGATTCGTTGTCATTCACTTACAAGTAGTGGTTTGTTGGCATCCTCGGAGCTGTTGTTGAAGCTGTCAACGATGCCGGAAATGCAGAGCGGTCCGGCGAAGCCCAGAAGGTCAGCCAGGTAACGGAACATGCTGCTAAGGAGGATCGGCCGGCCAAAAGCCCGGTACATGGCCAGCCAAATGGAAGGGATACGATTTGGTTGGTCGGCCACCTTTTTCTGGAAAAGAAAGCCAGTAAGTCCAGTGGCCACAAGCAAGAGGAGGCTTCCTTAAGAACCTTTGTGTGAACATTGAACATTTGGCTTCTGTCCTTCTCCCAAGAAGTTCAAGGTGTCATAGTGGTTTAGCACTATAGCGCTGACCTTAGAACGTTTTTTAAAAGTTCGAGGAAGATTCCACGGTGGAAACGGGCAGGTTGAGGAAGATTCCACGGTGGAAACGGGCAGGGGGGAAAGCGGCATTGTGGGAAGTGCCATGGATATTTTAAGCAGCACCCCACAGAGATTCAGAAGCGCAACGAAGGGGTTGAAAATGGGGGGGGGAGCCGTTTCCATCAAAAGTGGCTCAATCACACTTTGCTAACCCGATGCAAGTGGATTTGTATGAACAGATAAATAAATTCAACTAGCTGCTGGTTACTAAAACGGGTCTGTCTGAGATGCCGGAAAAAAACCCCATTAGCAACCAGTTACTAAAACAGAATGCAAAGGCAGTGTGAAAAGGGTCACTGAGGCAGACCATTGGTCCGTCAGGATCAGTCTACTCAGACCAGCGGTCACTCTCCCGTGTCTCAGGCAGAGGTCTTTCCCAGCAACTACTGCCCGGTCCTTTTGGTGTTGAGAGCCAGTTTAGTGTTGTGGTTAAGTGCTCTAATCTGGGAGAACTGGGTTTGATTCCCCACTCCTCCACTCGCACCTGCTGGATGACCTTGGGCAAGCCGTAGTTCTGATAAGAGCTGTTCTTGCAAAAAGAGCCGTTTCTGTCAAGAGCTCTCTCAGCCCCACCGACCTCACAGGGTGTCTGTTGTGGGGAGGGGAAGGGAAAGGAGTTTGTAAGCCGCCCTGAGACTCCTTTGGGTAGTGAAGGGCGGGGTACAAATGTGATTTCTTCTTCTTTTAACTGGCAGTGTTGGGGATTAAACCTAGGATCTCCTGCATGCCAAGCAGATGCTCTTCCACTGAGCTACAGCCCCTCCCTGAAAACAAACACACCCCAGAGGAAAACTAGTAAAGGTAAAGGTTCCCTTGCTCGAAAGCCAGTCGAATCTGACTCTAGGGTTGCGGTGCTCATCTCCGTTTCAAAGCCAAAGAGCCAGCGCTGTCCGAAGACATTTCCATGGTCATGTGGCCGGCAGGACTAAACACCAAGGCGCACGGAACGCTGTTACCTTCCCACCGAAGTGGTACCTATTTATCTCCTTGCAATTTCTTGCTTTCGAACTGCTAGGTTGGCAGGAGCTGGAACTAGAGACAGGAGCTCACTCCATCATGCGGCACACTCGGGTCTCGAACTACTGAACTACCGACCTTCCACAGCCTGCAGTTCAGCGTCTTAACCACTTGACAGAACTAAAAAGGACATGGACATCTAAAGCTGCCTTATGGTGATTCAGACCCTTGATCTATCAAGGTCAGTCCCATCTTCTGTGACCAGCATCTTTCCCCAGAGGAGCCTCATGGCCTTTGCCTCAGACACACCGAAGGAGAACCCTGTCCTCATGTTCAACATCTTTCGCCAAAGTGTGATAAAAGGCTTAGGAAGAGAGCTGATTCCTGCACTTAAGGACACCTCTGTCCATTATCAGACGAGGAATTATTTCCCTTAATCCTTCTCCTTTGGGCAATCTAGAATAACAGCCAGGCCAGGTTTCTTTCAGATCGATACTGATAGCATAAACTTTCAGACAGGAATTATTTGCCTCAGTCCTTCTCTTCCAGGCAACCCAGAATAACAGTTAGGCCAGATCTCTTTCCAGGGGTCATTTCCTGCGGGAGTGCACAGGAGTGGAGCTCCGGCAGTAAAGAGCCACATGCAACAAGCCCTCCCAGCAGCCCTCAGTCAGAGCAAGAAGCAGCCAGGTAAGCTGCAGAGTCTGCCCCCCAGCCCAAAACAGTCCAGTGGCACCTTTAAGACCAAGTTTTATTCAGGTATAAGCTCTCCCTCCTCTGCGAGGGCAGATCTGCGTGCCCCCCCCCCATAGCTAGCAATCCAAAATAGTCCAGTGGAGCCTGAGCGGTGGGTGTTGCCTTCTGACACACTTCCGGTGATGTCAGGGGGTGTGGCGCATACAAATAAGTTATGTTAATAAGCTATGCTAATGAGCTTCTGCACCTCTTTTTCTACGAAATGACCCCTGTCTCTTTCAGATCTATAGTAACAGCATAAACTATGACATAAGTAACAATTTCTTCATTACATATCAGCTGTGATATGTAATGGATTTCCAAAATCTCCTTGATAGTCCCTAACAGCCTAGCACCAAAACGGTTGATCTTAAATGGCCCAGGGAGGTCGTATTTGACCCATTGGTGTGAACACAGACATATTTGAGAAAGTCCACTGTGCCCTGGCAGTGCCATTTTTAAAGGACCATTTCAGCCCCCCAAACAGAAAATTTGAAAACTGGCAGGCCGAGGGCCAGAAATGGGAGTAGGACAGCAGCGCCATTTTGAAAGATAGGAAAACACACCCACTCCGCTAGCTAGCTACCTTTTGCTCCTCGTATGCGTCCTTCAGGGAGACGTAGTTGGTCAGCGCTCGCATCGCGATCGGCAGCTTCCCGATCGCCTTCAGGTCGATCGGCTTCCGGTGAGCCGATATGATCAGCGTGTTCATCCACCAATACGTTGCCTTGGAAACCAAGTTGACAAAGGGTTGAAGAAATCTCACTCCGAGGTCCTGGAGGTCTTCGGGTGGCTTAACTTTCTGGGGTTTTGTAAAAAACATATATCTCTGGGAACGAAAAGACAAAGAGAGCATTGAGGATATTTTTTTCCCCTTGGTATGTGATGAAGTCTTTCTCCTGAGGTTCATGGAAACACACTGCTTTCTGTTTATGCTTGCCAAACTCTAGGTACAATTGATCTCCAGAGACATCAGAGACCAGTTCCCCTGGAGAAAATGGCTTTTTTGGGGGGTGGGTTCTATGGCATGATACCCTGCTGTCCTTTTCCTCCCCAAACCCCGCCCTCCCCAGGTATTTTCCAATCCAGAGACGCCAACCCTACTTTTGTTCAATGACATTTTCCACATTAATCACTTCCCACAAATGGCTCTTATCTGTTGAGTGGTAATGTAAGATCCCAGTAATTGAGAGCAAAAAAAAAAAAATTAATAGATTTCGGCAAGAACTCAAATCCTCACATCTTGGTGAACCGACTCACGCAGATTGTGAATGATGCCATAAAGGGTCAATGGCGTAAGCACATACCCGAACACGGATGACGTTGATCTCCACCGCCATCAGCTCCGTCTGTTCTAGCATTCTCTGTCCAACTGTGACCAAATTGATACCGCAAGATATAAAATTATGCATCGTGTGGCGAAAGCAGATAGAAAAGAACCTTTCTCCCACTCCCAGAATAGAAGAAGAAGAGGAGGGGGAGGAGATTGGATTTATACCCCGTCCTTCACTTGGAGTCTCAGAGCAGCTTACAAACTCCTTTCCCTTCCCCTCCCCACAGCAGACACCCTATGAGGTAGGTGGCACTGAGAGGGCTCTTTCGGGGACTGTCCTTGAGAGAACAGCTCTGACAGAACTATGGCTTGCCCAAGGTCATCCAGCAGCTGCGAGTGGAGGAGTGGGGAATCAAACCCAGTTCTCCCAGATTAGAGTCCGCGCACTTAACCAGTGCACCAAACTGGCTAGAACTCACACCCACCCAATAAAGTTGATGGGCAATCGATTTGGGGAAAAACAAATGGAAGTATTTCTTCATGCTATGTGTAATTTTCTGTGTGGACTTCACTGCCACAAGATAGAGTCCATGGTCTTAGATGGCTATAAAATAGATAGAATCCACGGTTTTAGATGACTATAAAATGGGATTAGACCAGTTTATGGGAATAAGGTCCATCAACAGCTATCAATAGAACCTCCAGGTTCGAAAGCAGTCTACATCTGAACACATATGCGTGTATGTTATGTTCTGTCCAGCCACTTCCATCCTATAGTGACCCTGGCCCATTCTGCATCTAGCCTTCGCTCCATTGTTTTACCAAACCCACCCTGGAACAGAAAAAGATGCGGCTCAAAACCACATTCAGATACCCCCAGGCCAACGCCATCCTGACAGCAGAGTTACCCCTGAACAGCCATAAAACGGCCATAAATCTATGCAGGTAAAGGTAAACGTAAAGGTTCCCTTGGCTCGAAAGCCAGTTGAATCCGACTCTAGGGTTGCGGTGTTCATCTCCGTTTCAAAGCCGAAGAGCCAGCGCTGTCTGAAGACGTTTCCGGGGTCATGTGGCCAGCATGACTAAACACCAAGGTGCACGGAACGCTGTTCCCTTCCCACCGAAGTGGTCCCTATTTATCTACTTGCAATTTCTTGCTTTCGAACTGCAAGGTTGGCAGGAGCTGGGGCGCCGGGAGCCCATGCCGTCATTCGGCAACTCGGGTCTTGAACTGCTGAACTACTGACCTTCCACAGCCTGCAGTTCAGCGTTTTAACCACATGAGCCACCGCAGCTCCATAATCTATGCAGACAGTACCATAAAACCGAGAGATCATAGGAAGTGAAACCAGCATGCAGCGTGGAGGCTTCCAAAAAATCTGCCAATCACAGGAAGTGAAAGCGGCACGCGATGTACAGGGGGATTTCTGTTCCAGCGTGGGTTTGGTAAAACAGCGGAGCGAAGGCTAGATGCTGAATGGGCCCCTATGAATTAAGGACCTCCAAAACAATCTATTGTTTGCCCACTGCTGCCAGGGCTGCCCCCATCTACCAATCAGCTAGTTGGTGGAGGGGACTTACCAAGAGAAGAGAGAAGGCCTAGGCCTTGTTGCCGGCATTGCACAGAACATGATGCCATCACGCCACCGATGTCCGGACGATGCTTTGGCCAGTTTTACCATAGAGTGTTTGTCCAGATACCACAGCATTGCCCGGATGTCACTGGTGTGATGATGTCACGGTTCAGACTTAATATCTAGCACTGGTGGAAACGGGAGGAAATCACTGTGGAATATAGGATTCTATACTAGGTGGATTCTTGGTATGATGAGGCAGAATTCTTTTGTTCTTATGTATTCACGATCCTCACAAGTGGGTCATGGTGGAAGAAGAAGAAGAAGAAGAGATTGGCAATGAGGCCTATGCCTTTTGTCCCACCGTGGGCTCTTCCGTGGCCTCCAAGGCCGCTGCGGCAGGACTGGCACGACCAACGCTGGACCCTCGCCTCGGAGGATGGAGCACACCACATAAGGGGTTCGTGGGACGCCGAGGGCTGCGAATGCCTTGGTATGAGGGAAGCCAAAGACAGACGACCGGAATCCCCTTGGCTGCCACCCCCACTCCCATCGAGGGAAGGGAAGCCCCAAGGAAGAGGGTCAGGGGAGGAGAACAGAGAAGCAGCCTGCGACTGGCCTGCTTCATCAGCCGGAGGTGCAGGGCGGGCGCGCACGGTCTCGAATGCGCAAAGGCTGGAGAAGCCTGACCTTACCCGAGAGAGGAAAGCTAGAGACGCCACGGGAGCTGGCGTCGATCTCCATGTCTTCGCCGGAAGTGACCTCACCACGCACATCCCTGCTCAGGAAGGGACTCACAGGGAAACCCAGGAGGGCGGGACTAGGGTGGAAATGCACCATAGAGAAGGCAGATGGGAGGATTGGCAGGCTGAGGGAGCAATGGTATCACTGGAAAGGGAAAGGGAGGTGTCAAAGGGGTGGGGAAGGAGGATAAAAGGAGGGAAGCAGACCAGATGTCGGTAGCAAGTGGCTTGGATCCTTCAGAGAGACTGATTCAAGCCGCTGTTGACCCCGAGGAAGGAGGATCTGGGAGTGACAGAACTCCAGGCTCCTTCCACGTCTGAGACCCCCGCCTCCCTCCTGACTCCTCTGCCAGCACGGTAAGTGGTCCTCCAGTGCCTGGGGCCACCCCGGGGCCCGACACCTTTCTTTTTCTCCTCATAAGTAGTCACAGAATTCAGTCGCTGACTTTTGTGCATTAATTCTTAGATTGCAGGAATCGCATTTTAAAAGTTCTTAAATGCAGATGTCTGTTTTTGTATGACTGTTTTTTTCCCCTCTCCTTCACATATTATGCTTACTCTGTATAAGAACATAAGAACATAAGAGACGCCAATGTTGGATCAGGCCAAAGGCCCATCCAGCCCAACACTCTGTGTCACACAGTGGCCAAAAATACCAGGTGCCATCAGGAGGTCCACCAGTGGGGCCAGGACATTAGAAGCCCTCCCACTGTTGACCAACTGTATGTCGGTCTTAAGACCGTAATAATAATAAACTAATCTTCTCGTAAGTACCCTCTATCCCCCGTCGGTTGTCAGGAGGCAGCCCTAAGCACAGAGGTTGTTGTAGCCCCCCCCATCTCTGCCCCCCACCTTCCTACCAGTTTCCAGACATGGCCGGGCAACCCTCTCAAGAAGCGAAGTAACAGACCATTTGCAGAATGACTGAGGCTTCGCCAGCTTCACTCCCAGAAGGACCTGCGGATTTTGCAACCAGCTTTTTGAACAGAGAACAGGAAAGGGCAGCTACTTACCCAAAAGTAACTTGGGAAAATTTGATGTTTCGATATTGTGGTAATAGACGATAGATGTTGTGGCAGCTACAAATCCCATTATAGCGGGAAAGAAGAGGTGCAGGTGGCGAGAATCTAAATGTCTGCAAGGAAATAAACAGAACATCAGGAACTCTGGGTCTCTCCTTGATCATAGTGATGAATATTTTGTTCTGTACAAAGTCCAAGAACAAGAGAGTATTCAGGTCAAAGGGAGGACATTACAGACTGAGACTACCTTCTTATAGAGGTGATGAAAGGACAATGACAGTTTCAAGAGAGAAGAATGTTAATTTGGCATATGAAAGCAGTTGCACCAAGGTGTAAACTGCAGAAGGGAACCGAAAACCAAGCAAAAAGGCAATGCCATTTCCCGTCTGGGAGCAACAGCACTTTAATTTATTTATTGAAAACATTTATTACGGAGCTCAAGGCAGCTTACAATATAAATAAAATACATTGAGTACAAACAAAAAATATATATAAAAAATTAAAATCGCAGTTTAACCAAATGGGGGGGATTAGTAGGAGAGAGAAGATGGAAGGCCCAAACGACATGGCGATGCCACTTCCAGCGCACACAGGAAGTGATGTCATCAAGCTACGATGTCTCAGTGATGGTCTGGTATTTGGGAAGAAACTATGGTAAAAATGGCTTCTACCATAGAGTTTTTGCCCAGATACCACGGGATCACACAGATGTCGCCTGTGTGATGACATCACTTCTGTTGTGTGCTGGATGTGATGTAGCCACATTACTGGCAATGTGTCATGGGCCTTCGTTTCTCTCTCCAGGTAAGTCTCCCCACTGGCAAGCTGATTGGCGGTGGGGGTGGGGTTGGGGCCCTGCCTCCACCAGAAGACCTGACAAACCCAATTGGTAGCCAGTATAATTGCTGTAGTACAGGGGTCACATGCTCATGGTAGTTTCCAGGGGTCATTTCCTGCGGGAGCGCACAGGAGCGGCGCTCCGGCAGTAAGGAGCCCAGGGGGCAGGCACATGCAACAAGCCCCACCCCCCTCCTCCCAGCAGCCCTCAGTCGGGCCACGAGGAGCAAGAAGCAGCCAGGTAAGTTGCAGAGCCCCTCCCGGCCCCAGGTACAAGCTCCCTCCTTTGTGAGGGAAGATCTATGTGTGTCCCCCCCCCATAGCTAGCAATCCAAAACAGTCCAGTGGCACCTTTAAGACCAAGTTTTATTCAGGTACAAGCTCTCCCTCCTCTGTGAGGGCAGATCTGCACGTTCCCCCCCCCCAATAGCTTGCAATCC